ACCATTGTTTCTAGATGTTTCCATCCTCCCAAAGCACCTTTCCTTTATCTTCAATCTCTCTCCCTAGAGCAGAGAATTACTGTGACCTTTGAGCCAACAACATTAACATAAACTGGAAGCTTTTCTTAAAAAACTAAGATAAACTGGGAACTTTAGAACTAAGTCAGAAACTCAGAGGCTGGGGCCAGCAATCTTTGTTTTAACAAGCTTTATATTGGTCTTTTAATTACAGTCTAATTCATTTTCATTGGTTCTCATTACCTGTTACCTATATATTTGAATTCATGTCTTTTGTAATTTCTATATTTTGTGCTTATTTACCCAGGAGTTTTAAAAATAGTTCACAGAATTAAAGATGTCTCCATGTTCTCCCTTTTGCCCTCTCCATCCAACCATCCTAGGTCTTCCCCATGCCATTGTCCATGTCCATGGGTTTTGCATATATGCATATATATTCTTTGGTTAATCACTTTCTGTCCCCTCCTTACAACTGCTTCCCCATCCCAACTGAGGTCTGCTATACTGTTCCATGCATCCAGACCTCTGGCCCTATTTTTTTCATCAGTTTATTTTGTTCTTTAGCTTCCACTTATATGTGAGATCATGTGATATTTGTCTTAATCTAACTGACTTATTTCAGTTAGCATAATACTCCCCAGGTCCATCCATGCTGTCTCAAAGGGTAAGAGATCTCTCTTTTTTACAGCTGCATAGTATTCCATTGTATAAATGTACCACATCTTTTTTATCCACCCATCTAATGATGAACACTTGAGCTGTTTCCAGATTTTAGCTGCTGCAAATAATGCTGCTATGAATATAGGGGTGCATATATTCTTTCTTATTTTAAAAGTAGTTTTAGGTTCACGGCTCAGAGATTTCCCATTTGCTCTTTGCCCCCATGTACACACAGGACCTGGAATTTTCTAAATTATCCATGTTATTCTCATGTGCAAACAAGTTTAGGGACCAATCACAAGAATATTTTTCTCAGTATTTAGATGTGCTCTGGATTCTATTATTTTTAATCAAATATCCTTCTATCATATATCTACCTCTATCTTTTGTTGTTCCTCTTTCATATTGAAGCTTGATTTTTTTTCTTTCTTTCTCCAATTCCTCACCTACTTACCACCCAGTTCACTGTGGTTTCTCCTGCACTTCCACCATTCCCTTATTTTCACCAAGGAATCCTTTTAAACCTTATCTTACTTGACCCTGATAATCAAGGATGGAAAGTGGAGACCTCATAGAGACTGGTAGGAAGGCTGGAGGTGAGAAAGGGCTGGATGGGCTCCCACAAACAGTAGCTGAAGATTCGAGAGATATCTCAGCTGTGGGGGTGTTGCCACTGAGAACTCTGGCTCCCCAGCAGAGAGCACCAGGACTGAGAAAGGTGCCCACATAACATCTGACTGTGAAAATCAACAGGGTTGCTAAATGCCAGGGAATGACACCTAGAAACCCAGGCACCCTTGTAAGAGCCCAATGTACAAAATTCTGTGTGCACTGACTCACCTTGGGCTCTGGAAAAGAGAGGGCAGAGTGAACTGGAGCTGTGTGAGCAGAAGCCAGGGTTGAGGGCTCTTGGGTTAGAGCTCAGAAGGCAGATACCCCAGTTTCCTGTGCTAAGTCATTCCTTCACACTGCAGAGGTCATCTTTCTCAGACAGACAATAGCTATCCAGGCAACATTACCTGGGGTGAAAACAGTTGACTCACCCTATTGGAAAACACCTTCATACACAGTGTGCAATTTCTGAGGCCCATTAAGAGACTAAGAATAGTAACTAGCCTCCAGGCAGAAGCTATAGCCCCACCCTGTTGGAAAATCTCCCCACACCTGCAGACGATTTCCTGAGGGCTACTCAAGGCTGAATTTAATCAGTCTGCAAACAGAGGCAGTTTCTGGAGGCTTTGAGTCTTTGCCTGATCTAATTACTGAGAAACAGCATTTGACACTTCCCTGCAATAGAGATTGAGAGGCATAGCAGATCAACCTAATAAACAGTCACAAACCTAAACAGGCAACCAAAATGAGGAGACAAAGAAACAACCCCCAAATGAAAGAACAAGAGAATTCTCCAGAAGAAGAAATAAGTGAAATAGAGATAAGTAATTTATCTGATATGGAGTTCAGAATAATGATGGTAAAGATGCTCAACAGCATGAGAAAAAATAGAGTAACTATGAAAAAAGAACAGTCGGGAAAAAGAATGACATAGCACAAATAAAGAACACATTGGAAGGAATACATAGCAGATTGGGGGAAGCTGAGGATCAGATCCGTGAATTAGAAGACAGGGCTGAAAAAGTCAGTTGGTCAGAGAACCAAAGAGAATAAAAACAATTAAGAAACAGGAGGACAGCTTAAGGGAGCTGTGGGAACAACATGAAATGTAACAATATTCAAATAGTAAGTGTGCCAGAAGAAGTAGAAAGGGAGGAAGGGATAGAGAAATAATGGCAGAAAACTTCCCTAACCTGGTGAAGGAAAAAGTCACACAAGTTCAGGAGGAACAGAGTATTCCAAGCCAGAAGAACCTAAACAGGCCCACAACCAGACACATCATAATTAAAATGCCAAAAATTAAAGACAAAAGAGAATTTTAAAGGCAGCGAGAGAAAAAAACCAAAACAAACTGTTACCTACAAAGGAGCTCCCATAAGGTTGACACCTGATTTGGCATCAAATTTATACAGGTCAGAAGGGAATGGCATGAATGGGAATGGTACTCAAGTTAATGTAACACAAGTATCTGAAACCAAGATTACTATATCCAGCAAGACTATTATTCAAAATAGACAGTGAAATAAAGAGCTTGCTTCCAAAATAAAAAAGGCCAAAGAAGTTCATCACCACCCAGCCAGCACTACAAGAAATGTTAAAAGAACTGCTAAAATGAGAAGAAGAAATAGAGAGATAAATTTAGGCATACAGAATTAAAATGGGAAGAAATGAGTACCTATTAATAACTTTAAATGTAAATAGATTAAATGCTCCAATCAAAAGACATAGTATAGCTGAATGGATACAAAAACATGACCCAATTATATGTTGTCTATAAGAGACCCACTTCAGAACAAAAGACTCACACAGGATGAGAGTGAAGAGATGGGAAAAAAAATTCCATGCAAATGGGAAAAAAAAAGCTTGAGTAGCAATACTCATATCTGAAAAAATAGACTTCAAGATGAAGGCCATAAAAAGAGACAACAAAGATCAGTACATAATAGTAAAGGGATTGATCCAACAAGGGGATATGACCCTGGTAAACATATAAGCACCAAATGTGGGAATATATATATATACTAGAGGCCTGGTGCACAAAAAATTTGTGCAGTCAGGGGTGGGGGATCCCTCAGCCCGGCCTGTGCCCTCTCGCAGTCTGGGACCCCTCGAGGGATGACCACCTGCTGGCTTAGGCCTGCTCCCCGAGGGATTGGGCCTAAGATGGCAATCAGACATCCCTCTGGCAGCCCAGCAGCCCTCAGGGGATGTCCACTTGCCAGTGGGGAGCAG